CAATATGGTAACTGGGAGCGAGGGCTTTGGAGTGACTTACTCCCGGGTGAATTCCTGCCTCTGCCCCTTCCGAGCCGTGTAACCTCTCTGTGCTGCAGCGCACTCATTGCTAAATAAGCGAAATCACAGCACCTACCTCGCCGGGTGGTTGTGAGGGAACCAGGTGAATGTGCAAGGACTGTGCAAGGCCTGGCACACAGTAGGCACGACATAAACGTAGATACAGCCATAGATGGTTGTCATTGTAAACAGGCAGAGACATTGGGACGGCGTGTCTGAGCCTTGATTTAATGAGAGGCCTTAAGGAAGTGTTTGTTATTGGGTTTGTGCTAAGTTAGTACAAAATAGACACAGAGCAGCTCCCGTCACTGGCTGATGCTGCCGTCTTCCTGGTAGAGGCTAGCCCTGGGTTGAGGTTTTTCTGAACCTCATTTCAATGCTGTGGCAGATGCACAGCTGCCAAGTGTTGACCAGGGAGGAGCGAGGAGCTGCAAGTGAAGGCGGTCGCCCGGCCCAGGGCTCATAAGACGCTTCTGCCGTCTCTGCCACCAGCACACTTCCTTCTGCATCACCCACTCCTGAGCATGAGACACCGCGTGCACCTGGAGGGCCCAGGGTGGGGGGACGTCGGGCCCCCCTGACGAGCGTTCTCGGTCCACAGAGGATCCTGACCCACGCCTACTCCAGAGTGGTCCTGAGGGTCCTGGAAGCGGCCGTGGCGGCCAAGAAGCGCTTCAGTGTGTACATCACCGAGTCCCAGCCGGACTTGTCCGGGCAAGTACCTCCGCGCTTGGTCCTGCGCCCGGCAGCCATTCTCAGGGCGGACTGGGCTAGAGGCCATTGCAAGGAGCCAGGGCGTGCCCCGACCCGCAGCGTCCCGCGCTGCCTGCCTGTTCCCACCCGGGGAAGCCACGTGAGGCGCAATGGGTCGCAGTGCGGGCCCCAGGGGTGACCTAGCAGCTCAGTCAGAGGATCAGCAGCTTTTTCATCAGCTCTGTGACTGGCATGTGGTTCCTCTGGTCCCTCTCGTGGGTGCTCAGGGTGCTCAGGATGTCTGTGACGTCCCTCTGGAACTTTCTTGGGTTTTAGCTGATGTTCTCAAAATGTCATTTGCAGTAAGAAAATGGCCAAAGCCCTGTGCCACCTCAACGTCCCCGTCACCGTGGTCCTGGACGCCGCTGTTGGGTAAGCGCCAGCGTCCCCGGCTGCGATGATGGCCCCCGCCCCTCCCAGGGCTGGCCGGGAGCCGGGTTTCCAGGTTGGAGGTCTGAGTCCCGGTCATAAACCTGCACTGGAGAGCGCCCGCCTCTTAATTAATAGCTGCCTGAAACCAGCAAGCTCGTTACAGGCCTTGATGGCGCACACGGACGCCAGGCAGGAGGGCGCTAGCAGGGCGGCAACAGGAGCCGTTCATGTCGCCTATGGTGCAAGGGCGGGGGCAAAGGGCGGGGTAAGGTCAGCAGAGGTGGGTGCTCCCCCTTCCTCTGAGGACACGGTGCCCTCTGTGGCCTTGCCTTCTCCGTCTCAGCCATGCACCTGAGCCGAGGCCACATGCCAGCGAGCCTCACAGGAGAAAACGGGAGAGTCTCTTACAGAGGAGACGCAGAGGGAGTTAGGGCTGTTGATGGGCATTTGAAGCGTTCTCCCAGCGGCTGGCTTTAGAAGGTGAACCGGCCTTCACCCGCCTGAGAGCACATCAGGCCTTTAGATGCCGGGTCTGTGTGTGTGGAAGCAGAACAGGGAACAGCACCACGTAGGAAGGCGGAAGCCAGCCTGCGAGTCTTGCTCGGGTTCACGTCTGTGCGCACTGGGTGGCAGCGTGACGTGGGGTCGTGACGGAAACGGGTTTTAAGGCGCCGGCGGCAGTGCCAGGGCCGCCTCGTGTGTGAAGTGCCCTGTGAGCACGCTAGTTACAGGAGGAGCTCACGTGTGGAGATGAGTATTAACCTTCGCAGGGGAGGCCTAACGAGCGGAGAAAGGCGCATAAACGTGTCTCCTTGCCTTCCTCAGCTACATCATGGAGAAGGTGGACCTGGTCATCGTGGGTGCGGAGGGAGTCGTCGAAAACGGAGGCGTTATCAACAAGGTAGGAGCCTCAGTCCCCCGTTCCCTCCCAAGGGTGGAGGTGGACCTCGGGCCTAGGTCTCGGCAGCAGTGCTGTGCGTGCGGTGCGGTCACGTGGTCCTGCTTCCCCCATCCGCTTGCTTCCCTGTCCCAGAAGCCACTGCAGGGGTCAGTCCAGTTTTGGTAAAATTCCCTTCTGCTTCGGAGACTCATCCATGTAAAGTAGGGAGTGTAATTTCTGTTTTCTTAAAACACGTTTTAACTGAAATTGGGTTTTTTTGGCTGGTTTTTCTTTTCTGTTTAGTGTATCTGACATGAATAGAATGTGTTAAAATTTCTCTGTCCAGCCCGGCCGGTGTGGCTCAGTGGCTGAGCATCGGCCTATGAGGTCATGGTCGGTTCCAGTCAGGGCACGTTTCACTGTGCAGGACGTGGTATTTAGTGGCTTTGACCTGCATTTCCCTAATGACTCAGGACGCGGAGCATCTTTTCCTGAGTTTATTGGCTGTTGTGTGTCTTTGGGAGAATATCTACTGTTTTCCTTTTTAAAAGCTCCTCCTCTGTGGTCCCGAAGTCAGAATTACATGTATCACGATCACTCGTGTGCTTTCTGTGGCCGCCCCGTGACCTGCTGTAGGTCTCACTGGCTCCCTTTCCCCAACTTCCCAGATCGGAACCAACCAGATGGCCGTGTGCGCCAAAGCACAGAACAAGCCCTTCTATGTGGTGGCGGAGAGTTTCAAGTTCGTCCGGCTCTTCCCACTGAACCAGCAAGACGTCCCAGACAAGTTTAAGGCAAGAGCTTTACGTATTTGAAGGGGTTGAGTCTAAACTGAAACCTTTGAAAAAATGCTGAGAATGCATCAGGGAGTTATTCCCTTCCCGTGGCTGTGTCTTCCGACGTTGGGATAGAAACATAAATTGGTGGCGGTGAGACTGAGTCTAACTGGGCCCCAGAATTTCAGCCTTCCAGTCTCCCGCTCACTGAGCACTGGACACGGTGCAGAGGCAGGGGCTGGTGGTGAGCGGTGCAGCCTAGAGTCAGCTGCCTGGATCGGCCCCCTGACACTTCCTGCCCATGTGCCCGTGGGCAAGCCCTGTCCTCCTGAGCTCTGACCTGTGCAGGGGGAACAGCATGGGCCGAGTTAGCCGGTCCGAGACCACGCGTGGGCAGGCTGAGCAGTGCCCGCACAGGGTGGGCTCTGAGAATGGTTCTCTCGCGGGTCAGGAGGAATTGGCCCAGCTCATGGTGAGGGGACACATGCTGTGGGCTAGTGGCCAGGCGGCCGCCATGACAGCCCACCACAGCAGCAGCGCCCTCTTGTCAGTGTGCCGCTCAGCTGGCTTCTCCCCATTTGGGGAGTGGCCAGGCCAGCCCCCCGCCCCCAACTGCAGAGCCCTGAGCACTTGGGCAGACTAACGCGTGCTTGCTGTGTCCACAGTACAAGGCGGACACGCTGAGGTCTGTGCAGACTGGACAGGATCTCAGAGAGGAGCACCCGTGGGTCGACTACACACCCCCCTCCTTGATCACACTGCTGTTTACAGACCTGGGGGTGCTGACGCCCTCAGCCGTCAGCGACGAGCTCATCAAGCTGTACCTGTAGGTCTTCCTGTACCTACAAGCTGTACCTACAGGTGCCTTCCTGCCTCGAGGTGACGTAGCTGCAGCGGGGGAGGAGCCTCTGGACCCCGCGTGAGCCAGGCCAAAGGGAACTGTTTTCATGAAGATTTATGGACTAAGGACTTAAAATCATAATTTTGGTGGAGTTTTTATTCTTTCCAGTCCTGTTTAAGCATGTTCCCGGTTCCTGTAAAACTCAACCTAAATTGTGCTGATGGGTCCCAGACACTGTCACTCACTCCTGTTTCTAGAAATACACGTTAGACTATTGGCTACTTAACCCTCCAGACCCCTCCCCTCGCCCTCTGCCTGCAGTGATTGGCCTCGGCCGTTAGAGGATGCAGGCCCCTTACAGAGCAGGCGTTCCTCACTGCGCAGGCCCCGGAGCATGCGGTGCCTCGAGGGCAGGAAATACCTGCTCAGGTAGCATTGCTTCCCCTGGTGAACACGAGCCAGAGTGCAGCCTGGACAGCATCGAGCCAACGGAGCAGCTCACCGCCAGTGCCGCCGCCCAGAATGTTCAGAAACGAAAACTGTGTGAAAGATGTGGATCTTAAAGGTTTTGGACCTGAACGTTTAGAAGTTGTACTTGGGAATAAATAACACAAAACACTGACTGGTCTCACTCAGTGCTGTGAGCTGAGCCAGGCCCCGCTGTGGAGACACACACACAGTGTAGTCGATTAGAAGGAAAGTTTATTCAATAGAAGGCAGCATCTCTCCCAAAACATGACTAGCTGCCTCGATTTCTCAGATACTCCCCAATGACAGCCCTGGGGCCTATTCTTAGGACAGAAGGAAAACCCTGGGCCACTGGCCGCTCTGCTGTGCCCTGTGCACTGCACCGGAGGGAACACACGGCCCCCATGCACTGCACCGGAGGGAACGCATGGCCCGTGCACTGCACCAGAGGGAATACATGGCCCCCATGCACTGCACCGGAGGGAACACACGGCCCCCATGCACTGCACCAGAGGGAACACACGGCCCGTGCACTGCACCAGAGGGAATACATGGCCCCTGTGCACTGCACCAGAGGGAATACATGGCCCCCGTGCACTGCACCAGAGGGAACACGGGGCCCCCGTGCACTGCACCAGAGGGAATACATGGCCCCTGTGCACTGCACCAGAGGGAACACGGGGGCCCCCGTGCACTGCACCAGAGGGAATACATGGCCCCTGTGCACTGCACCAGAGGGAACACGGGGCCCCCGTGCACTGCACCAGAGGGAATACATGGCCCCTGTGCACTGCACCGGAGGGAACATGTGGCCCGTGCATTGCACCAGAGGGAACATGTGGCCTGTGCACTGCACCAGAGGGAACGCGTGGTCCCCGTGCACTGCACCAGAGGGAACGCGTGGCCCCCGTGCACTGCACCAGAGGGAACACAGTCCAGGGGCGGGGCACCCAGGGAGCTTGGGAGCCTGAAAGCACTAGGGAACTTTAAAAGCCTGAAACCAAGTCTACTCCAGCATCAGTGCATTAAAAATAAGTATAAAATAGGCCCAGAAAAATGAGCTCTTTAATTATAAGCGACCCATCAAATAAATATTGACATCTATTATTTACACCAAATAACTTGCACCTCCTGTTGGACTCAGGCTGGTATGTCTGTAGTAAAACGTTCAGGACGTGAGAGCCCCTCCCACCTCCTCCCCCGCCTGCACGTCAGCCCGCCTGCCAGGTCCTGATCGCCCCCCGCTCACCTGAGGCCCCGCAATCAGCCGTCCCCCTCCACATCCGAGGTCCCCAAACCCGCTGTCCTGATCGGCCCTCTGGCACTCGTCAGCAGGCCCTTCTCCAGCTCCTCCTCAGTGATCTTGCCTTTCTTAAACTTCCTCAGGAGCCGCGTGTCATTCAGAAGTTCCTCCATGTCCTCGTCCTCCAGGTCAGAGCCCTGCGTGCAGGAGAGACCAAGCCCCGAACGCCTCAGTGACAGGGATCCGAGGGAGTGACACGCTCTCAGATGGGCTCCCACAAGCATAGGGCGTCCCCGTCACCACGTAACAGAACGGAGCACCCCTGGCAATCCTATCAGAAGACACTCCCTCCAGGGCCCGGGCTCAGAATTCCAAGGCAGATAAATAGTCAAACCTCCCGCTTTACCTCTTCCCTTTTCCTTTTCTTGTTCATTTTCTTCTTCTCCCTTTTGGCCTTCTGCTTCGACCAAGCTTTATTTTTCACGAATCTTCTCCTCCCTTCGTTTTCTGTCTTCTCCTTCCTCTGCTGCTCCAGCTGTTTCTGCCTCTGCTTCTCCCTGATCTTATCTCTGAATGGAATGGTGTCCGTGTTGACGTCCACGGGCACGAAGTCTGGAAACTGCTTTCCCCTCAGCTCCGGCATCTTGGGCATCCTGAGCAGAGCGAAGCCTCGCGCCAGGGCAGCAAAGTCCAGATCTGATTCAACCAAGCACCAGGGTGAGACCGGCCCACGCGAGTTTCCAGCAGATCATTTTTCTAACCAAACAATCTCATGATCTCACTGTAACTAAAGTAACTGCGTTTGTACTAAGAAGGAACACTCAGCAGCCAGCTCATTCCTCTACCCAAGCCCTAGGAGGCCTCCCCGTTAGATGTTTAGAAAACACATGCCCCACATTTTATGAAACGGAGCAGCCTCGTGCCTGGGTGCCTGCGGAAGCGCAGCCGCTCAGACGGAGACACAGCACGTGTCGACGCCCAACTCACCCTTGAGTCTGAAGATGAGGCTGCACTCGTGCTTGGCGTAGGCCTGGACGAAGGACACGAAGGCCCGCATGCCCTTCTCAAACACGGCCCTGTCGGCCAGGGCCATGGCCCGCAGCTTCGGGAGGAGGTCCGCCGTGTGCTTCTGTGGCTGCATCTCCTGCAGGGGGCACTGCAGAGCCCACACTCACTTCCTCGCCCCAAGGCTCCCCCCAGAGCCAGCGCCAAGATGACCGAGGGCAAAACAATCCCCTTGCATCTCAGATCAGAGGCCATGGAGCCCAAACCCAGCCCAAGTGCTGTACTGGACCGGAAAGTATTTAAAATTTTACATGACCCCGACTTCTGGTTGGAAAATATGGCAAAGCCAGGTCCACGTTCCCACCCCTGTCCACCAGGGACACAGCTGGGGCTGAGCTGGGGCTGCCACCCTGAGGAGGCGGGGGTCTCCCCCTGGCCAGGTCCCCCCACTTCCCATCACCAGCCGGGTCCTGTGAGCTTGCACCCCCATCTAAGTTCCCGACCACTTGCTGGAAAAGGAGCGAGAAGGCGGCTTACCTTTTGGTTGATTGCGAGGAAGTTGACGTAGGACTCTTCCATGGGGAGGAGGAACACCAGTGCGCTGCCACCATGGCCGATGCGCGCAGTGCGGCCACAGCGATGCACGAAGGCACTGCGAACACAGGAGGACACAGCGCCTGTGACGGTGCTGAGCAAGCACAGGCCCAGGGCCGCCGGGGCCGCCTGACCACAGCTCAGTCCCAGCCCCGCCCCGACCAGTGTGGACACAGGAGCGTCGGCAACTACGTATCCATTGCCAACCAGACAGGACTCTGTGAGGCACTGAACATGACTACACAGTGTTTACATTTATGCTTATCTGGTGGTACAGGCTGGTGTGGTCCTAGTAGAAAATTTGGAAAACAACAAAAAGTATAAAAAAGATGATGACCTGTGAGCTTCCCACCGACAAGGAACCATTATTACTGCTCGGTTCAGTTACAGGCATTTTCTACTTGGAAGCATTTATCAGTCATACATACTGTTTTCCTTAACCCTTTGAGTGCCAACCAGTATCCTAGGAACTATGCTACAATTGCCAAGGCATTTTTGCTGATTTTACAGTTTAGGAAAAAAATTATGAATCGCAAGTAAATGAAGTTACATATTCAAAAACATAAGGAAACCTTTACTACATTTGTTTTCATCTTTGACATATATTGTTTGCTGATTGTATTATAAAATACTAGTAGAAAAAAAAATTGCCGATAGCGCCCCCGGCACTTTTGGCGAAAGACAGGAGGAGCGCGATTGCGCTCCCCGGCACTCAAAGGGTTAAACATGTTATCATGTCCATTTCTGCAGGAATTTGCTGCAAAACCTGGTATCACTACGAGAGCCATGACATGCCCACTCGCCTATTTTTGCTGTTTAAAATCACTTTCAACTCGTCATTTTATCTGCCCCGAGACTCCCATTTCTAGGCGATTCCTAGGCGGAGGGCAGCGTTCGGTCGTGCGATTCCCAGGCGGGGGGCAGCGTTCGGTCGTGCAGTACCTGGCACTGCTGGGGGGGTCGTACTGCAACACCCAGTTCACCTCGGGGATGTCTATGCCGCGGGCCATCACGTCCGTGCACACCAAGACCCCGCTGGAAAGGGAGACAGCGCGTGGTGAGCGGGATCCGCACTTCCATCGCCAGCGCCTTTACATCTCAGTGAGGACAACGGGGGACAGGTTCCGGGATCTCACAGTGACCACGACATGCAGGTCCCTGTCCTTACGGAGCTTACAACCTCTCAGGGAAGCCAACAGCTGGCTGAGGAAGTCGGCACAGCAAAGTGGGTTGGGCCAGGACAGAGGGACAGGTGCGCATCTGCACAGAGAGGACACGATAACAGGGAACGGGATGGGGGTGCCAGCAGGGAAGTAAACTACGCCCACGGAGAATCAAAGGCAGGGGGACATGCGGCGGCTGGAGACGCGCCGTCCCTGCCAGGCCCACCTCTGCAGCTTGCGGAAGCCCATGAAGATCTTGTTGCGCTTGAACTTCATCTTCCCGTGAAGGCACATGATCTCCACGCCCTTCACCAGCGCCTCCAGGGCCTTGCCGTAGTATTCCACGCAGGCACAGGTGCTGCGAGGGGGACCGAGGGCACAGGCGTGGGCCATTGGTCCCCTACAACCAGACGCAGTGATGCCCGCCCTCCGGGAGAAGGCAGACGGCTGTGCGTGTCCACAGCTAAGCTCCAAATCCCCAACCCTCTCTGCCGACCAACTCCCCTCAAGCATGAGCTAGAATCCCCAGGACACTCCCACGCCTGAAGGTGATGCAGCAGCAAGGGGGACCCCTGGCCCCTGAGAAACGGCTTAAACGGAAGTCGTCTTTCATAACAAAAGCAATGACATCTTAAATATGAAGAGTTTCACGAGATTTCCAAACGCTCCTGCTTCCCCTCTGGGGACCAGCTTCTCCCCCATCACCGACTCCCAGGCTCAGCAGGTAAGCCAGGTCCCCCCAAGCAGATCCACCCGAGGTATTTGGTCTGGGCGCCAAGTCACCCCAGGACGTCGCAGTGAGGGTGCCCGAGAGGGATGGCCACGCAGCTCTCTGGGGCTCCCCGACCCTGTCTTCCCAACGGCTGGGCATCCAGCTTTGGGAGTCTGTGAGCTCCCTCTGCAGCGCCCCGCTAATGAAGTTCACCCACGCCCCCTTTCATTGGGAAGGGCTCCAACATGACGTCACACCTGGTGCCGGTGAGGGGCCTGAAGCTTAGGGAGCGGCCATGGGCGGGAGGGCAGAGCCTGAGCCGAGGTCTCTTCCTTCCCCGGGGCTCTCCCACCGCACCAGGCTGCAGGTCCCACCGGCTCCCTCCTGCCACTTACACCTCCTCTCCAAGGCCTGGCTCAGTGACTGCCTCACTCTGTTCCCATAAGTCACGCCAGGGGACACAAGCAGTGAGATCCTGAGCGCAATCTGTGCCTCCTGAAGTCTTTGTTTTGTGTGTGTGCGCGCGTGCGTGTGTGAGTACCAGGCTGTATTTCTCAGCTGGGGTCAATATAGCCGTGACAACTGCAGAAACACGGACCTGACGTTGCGGGACACAGAGCAGCGGGACCTGCCTTCCTCGGGACTACGATCTACAGGAGCTGGGTTTTCAGTTATTTGCAGCCAAAAGCATCCCTAACTGAGAAGCGTCCTAACCGAGAACGCCAACCCGGGGCCGGGAGCACCAGGGCGCCTGGTGTGGCTGAACCCCAGACCCGCCTCAGAGCCCGGAAGCGTTACCTGAAGAAGACCAGGTGCTTTTCCTGCTTATGATTGCGAAGGAAATGGACCAGCTGATTAAACTTCTCATCTGCCTTACACACCTGCAACGTAAAAGGAAGACGAGTAAAATAAACACAGATGCACTGATGACACTAATCCCCGTAGCGATGCTGCGTTTCAGCCTTAACTTTAAGGGCCTGGTTTCCTGCACACACAGGACGCGTTCACCCGGCTGCCCAGCTGAAAAGTGAAGCCTTGTCAGCACCCTGCTTTAGCGGAGGGCACGTGTTTTACTTCCCAGCTTTCCTGCGATGTAACTGGCTGGCAGATAAAACTGCACGTATTTAAGGTGTACAGTGTGATGACTAGATACACGTATAAGATGAGTGTGAAACAATTGCCACAATCAAGGTAACTGCCTGGCTGCTGCCCGGCCAGGTGTGGCTCACCGGTTGAGCATCGACCTCTGAACCAAGAGTTTACTGGTTGGATTCCCGGTCAGGCCACAAGTCCAGGTTGTGGGCCTGATACCCAGTAGGAGGCTGCAGGAGGCAG